ACTGTTGAGGGTTCAGCCTCCTGATGAGTCGGTGAAACTCCGACGAAACAGTTTGCCACAGCCCCTCGTTTGTTGTCCTCTTCTCTCTCTCTGCCTACGGTTTACCGGGCAGTTCTATTTGACGATATATATATATATATATTCTATTTGTGACGATATATATACAGGGTCACCAGCCCGTACGTACGGAGGTCCCCGGGCAGACCTCCGTACGTACGGGCGTTCGGGGTCCCGTACGGGGTCCGAACCTGACGGCATTTGGCCCCCGCCAAAAATTATTTCGGGGCCTAAAAATAATTATTTTTATCTAAATTTTCTTTTGTGAGTTCTCTATGACGTGAGGTACATGCCCAAAAAATTTCAAGTCATTTGGCTAAGCCAAATAAGAATTAAAAATCGCCAAAGATGGCGGTGTCAAAATGTGCTCGCCCACGTATTTTTTCACTTTTTACTTTTTGTTTTCACTTTAGTTCGGGGTCTAAACAATTTTATTATTTTTTTAACTTTTTTAGTGGGTTTTGTATTATGTGAAGTACACATCTGTAAATTTTCAGGGCATTTAGCTATGCTGTGATAACCCGTCCAAACACGGACTGAAACACACAACTGATTTCTGAGTTTTGCTCATAGACTGAATGCCCTACTGAGTTCCCCGCCTGCTAAGTCTGTGTGCGTGTGCTTGCTGGACTGCATGTCTGTCTGAGTGCTGNTGAGTTTTGCTCATAGACTGAATGCCCTACTGAGTTCCCCGCCTGCTAAGTCTGTGTGCGTGTGCTTGCTGGACTGCATGTCTGTCTGAGTGCTGATTGGCTTGCGTGTGTGTGACTGTGCCTGTCTGAGTGCTGGTTGGTATGAGTGTGTGTGTGTGGCTCGTCAGGGCACTTGTTCGTTCGTTGGGCCCTCAGGGCCGGTACTTACATGTGGTCGTGGCTTTGAAGGGTTGCAGCGGGGTAAAAGCACTCAAGTAGCAGGTAGGCCGGTACCGCACCCGGCAGGGGGGTAAATATGCAGGTACCGGAGGCCGAGCAGAAGAAGACAAAAGTGGCATTTTTAGAGGCCGGTAGTGTAGGCTAGGTCTAGYGGGTACCAGTCTGAGTCTAGGGCCTGTAGGGGCAATATCAGAGTCTGCAATGATGTTCCCTCCAAAAGAGGAGGTACCGGTTGCTTGGGAAGGCCAGCGGCGTGGAAGTCACCGCCCAAGAGGCAAAGCAGGCCGCTATATCTTCCGGCCGGGCGGAAGACCCGACCTCTTTTTCGGTGTGCAAGTTTGGTGATACACTTGTGGAGCGCTGGATGGAGCAGCGCTAAGCTGGAGCATCGCTGCTGGTGAGGAAGAAGAAGGACGAGAGGGAGGAAGGAGGAGGAAGAAGGAAGGAAGGGGGAGGAGCGCCAGGGGTACTTACCTGGCTGTGGTGGCAGCCATCTTCATCACCTTGGTGGGTGCTGCAGCAAGGAGTCCCCCGTCGGGGAGAGCCACACCAAGAAGCTTCAAGGCAGGGTTGGGCATGTCGGCCTGAGTCCGAGCAGCCATAGCTGCTTTGTGTTGTCCTTTGGGCATCTGAGCAAGGCCTAGTAGTCCGCCATAGCCTCGGCCTATGAGAATGAAGTGTGAGAGGGGCGGCCATGGCTATGGTGGACCTTGAGTGATACCTGCAGTAGAAGAGGGACTCGGACATTGATTCTGGACCGGTCATTCAACATTGTATTATTATTTCTTGTATGAATAAGAGGAGAGGGGGATAAGGAGGAGGAGATTGTTGGGCGTAGAAGAAGAGCCTTGTCATTATCTTTGCTGGTGTACATCTTCTTCTTCTTCTTTCTTACTTCTTCTTCTTCTTCTACTCCTCTCTCTCCTCTCAAGTTCATTCATTTCTCTCTGCAATTGGATGGCATTGTACTTTCCAGTGGATGTGCATCTCGAAATTGGTCAGGGTCATAACATTGGTATGAGAGCGGATTCTACTTGCTGGTGAGAGTTGACTTGCTGCCCTAACCCTAACCTAAGTGGTTGAGGGCAACACTTAGGGTTAGGGCTGGCTGGTGAAGGGAAGTGGGGCAGCGTGGCTGAGGGAAGCTGCCCCCACCTGGTTAGGTCATGTGGGGTCAACATAGATCCTAACCAGGTTGCTTGAGAGTGAGATTAGGGTGGCGAGACATTTCGAGGAGACTTCATGCAGCGATTTGAGAGAGGCGACAGTGAGAGGCACTCGCACCTGGAATCTGATGCAAGGGAGACACTTGGCAACTTAAGGGCTGCCCTCATGTAGGCGAGCTTGAGGGTCCGCGGCCACTCTGCATCAACGGACTGCAAGTTGCTACTTTGATCTTCAACATCGACGGGGGATCCGGCGTTGCACTTTGGTGTTGGAGTCAGACCCTCCTAGGAGATAGGACACTAGTGTAGGGGTAGCGTTAGAGGGGTCAGGAAGACCACATGAGAGGGGGCGTGAGTTCTATTCATCTCGAAGCTCAAGGCCACTCAGGTAAGTGCCATGCACCTACGGGATGCCCATGTATGTGTGTATGGTATTGATTGTCCTGCTGGGGTACTTTGGGTTTCTTTTCCTACTCTGTGGTCTTGATTGTGTGACTGAATGCATGTGATCTACCTACTCACCTGATGGATGGAAAATGAAGTATCTTGACATACATGCCGAGTCTTTCTACAATGCTTTGTCTTTTCATCACTGAACGGTTGTAGTCTGTAGGTTCTGCCAGAAGTTGAAATTTCATTTTTCAGTGCAGTAGAGACTGAACTAAGTTCAGGTGGAACTCCTCTTGGTTGGGACCTGGTTGAGACCTACGTGGGACCCTTGGGACCAAGCGGGATCCTTGGGACCCAGCGAGACCGGGCCCAAACAAGAAGAGCCTCTGGACCCAAATCGGTTAGGCATTGACCTCTTGTTTTCTTGACTGGGATATGAGTTCATTCTTCTTGGATTAGGACACCCACTGCCGAGGGGATCTTGGCTGAGACATTTCGCATGTATTCTGATTGCACTATCCATGGCTTGACTCGCACCCTGTACACCACTCAATTCTCCATTGTTGCATTTAGTTACTCGTTGTCTGATTTGCTGTACGGACACGGAGCTGGTCATACTGGACTCGAGAGGACCTCGTATGCAGCCTGATCAGACTGGGTCGCTGGATCAGACCTCTCTTTGAGTTTGATTGTTTCTTTTGCTGCTGTTCTCTACTCCCAAATGGAATGCCGCTCCAACTAGGAGTTCTACCTTCTTTTCTCTGAGCTTTTCAGTCTGTTTTCTGAGTTCATTTCCGATGCCCGTGGAGACTCGCAATCTGAAAGAAGAGAGAGAGAGGAGGGAGAAAAACAGGGAGAGAGGGAAAGTGATTGTCTGAAGTGGGCAAGGACTGGGAAAAAAGTGTTCGTCCAAGCGGGAGGGGGAGTGAACCTCTTGAGAGTCTGATTGATTCTTTTGCTGACTGGCCACTCTCTGACCCACCCATCCATACTGACAGTCCGAAAATGGCCCAACTTACTTCAACGCAATGGCGGGCCTTGTTAAATGCAGCCAGTGATGCTGAGAAACCTTATCTACAAGCACTCTTGGACAATGCAATCAAAAGGGAACAAGAGTCAGAGAAGGCGAGGAAGGATACCTGCTGCTATCCTAGAGACTGTTCCCTCACTAACTGAAGAGCAGTGTGGGGAACAGTTGCAGTCCACACTTACAGCCTTTGTTCAAGTCAGGAATCTTGAGGACCATACCACTCAGATCGCTGAAGTCTTTGCAAAGCTGCAGACACTTCAAGATGATCTGACTGATATGACCCGCAAGTACCATGAATTGACAAAGGAGGTGGCCGACCTGCGACAAGCCCAAGTGGCCAACCCTCTTCCTCTACCCCCTGGATCTGAAGCTGCAATCGAAACTACCTCTGCCGCTCTTACTGTATCTTCTTCTACCTCTTCTTCGAGTGTGATGGCAACCCCCTCGGGACCTGCAGCAGGTGCAGATTCCGCTGTTGCTGTAACGAGCAATGAGGCTGGAACTTCTGCAACTGCTGCAGTCCCAAGACAGGAACCAGCTGCTGCTGGTCCCAGTCACGCTGGTCCCTATGTGGACCGAAAGGCGGTACAAATGCCGTCTAAGTACGACAGCAAGGAAGACATTGAGTCCTGGATCGGCTCCATGAGGGCCTACTTTGAGATTCTGGGAACTCAACCTGAGAACCAGGCGGTGATCATGGGAATGAATGTTGAACCGGTCGTACGGGGCTTCATAGAAGTCCAAGCGACGCGGGCTGGGTTCCAAAAGACTGCATTAGCCAAATGGCTTAGGACCACCCCGGTTGCCTCCCTCGAGGATCTTCTTATCTCACAATACCAAGATCCGCATGCTGCTGCTAGGGCAAGAATCCAACTTGACAAAGTCAAGCACAGCAAGTGGACTGGCTCCATGAAAAGCCTGCAGACCTATCTAAGCAAGATGTTTGCCACTCCTGGTTTGAATTTGTCTGCTCAATCTTGCTTGGATGTGGTCAAGGGCGCGGTTCCAACTAATTTCACTAATCGCCTGAGCAGGGACTACATTGCATACACTGACTGGCTCACCTTAATGAAAGACATGGTCAGTTTGGAGGCTATAGACCTCGTTGGCACGACAGGCAGCAAAAAGCCCATGGGCGGCAAACGGTTCAAGGGCATCAGCCGTTTTGCTGTGCATGACCTGCTGGAGGCCGAAGGAGAAGCTGATGCGGATGACCCCATTCTTGGTGACGACTAAGAACAGGACTCCGATACAACTTGTTCTTCAGCCCATGAGTCCGATGCGAATAAAGAAGAAGAAAAATTTTCTGCCTTTAAAAAGACTGCCAGCACTAAGGGATCGAATCGGAGTGTCGGGAAAAGTTATGTCAAACTTCCCAAAGGAGCCAAGATCCCGCCTAAATCGGAGGATGCGACTACCAAACCTTGGGTTGACCTTCGGATCACTGAGAATGACTGGCGGGGCAGACTCAGGAAAGGGGTTTACCCGCATTGCCAAAAACCAAATCATAAGGTTCAGGACTGTTATAGGCTGCAGAGAAACCAAAATCGGGCGCAGAGTCAGATTCAACAAACTCTACAGCAGGGGAGTCCGGTGCTGTTGAAAATCAGCCGCCCTCCCTCGAAGCCCAACCATCTAGTGAAGACAAGGCTGAGGTAAGTAATGTCTTGTATGTCGAGCCCGGGGAGGAGCCTGAGATGGTTGACTTCCACTACCACTTGGAGCATTGGGATGAGATGAAACAGCAGCGTGCCCAAGGGACAGTGAAGTTGATCTTCTTTAAACTTTTCATAAACCACCGTTATCTCCGTGTGTTGGTTGATTGAGGTGCTACAACGAACTTCATGTCACCACATGGGATACGCAAGGTGGGCTTGGGGATGAAGCAAGTGGCCCTGCAGAACCCTTGTCGGACCCAAGTTGGCAACAAAGAAGTTCTCTCTTCAACACATGCAGTCAAAGGTGTGCGCACTACCTTTGACAAAGGCACACCCACGCACTGAACTTCTTTGTCCTTGACAAGTGCCCCTTCGATGCTGTCCTTGGCTTGGGCTGGCTGCAGTTCCAATGCGAATGGACCAAGTGGAAGGAGTCACTATTCATGGTCAAAGATGCTCAGGGGAACGAACTTCCCGTCCTTTTGGATGAGAAGCACGAATCCCCAATGACTTTTCTAAATGCATTGAAGTTCTGCAAGAAGTGGCGCAAGCATAAAGAGGACGAACAATTGTATGTTGCCTTTGTTTGCCCTGCTCATGTGCCTTCTACGTTTGCGACTAATACCACTACTACTTTGATTGATGATCTTACTTCTGGTACTTCTACTACTAGCACGTCTACCTCTCTACCCTCTAATAGTCCAAATGATCCTACTTCAGATTCGGTCGTCTCTATACGCGACTTGCGACCGGATCTTGGTGATCCCTTTGCTGATTCCCCACCCCCACCTGTCCCATCAAACATCCAAACCCTCCTCGATCGGTTTTCGGAAGTCCTGGCCGAGCCACGTGGAGTCCCCACGCGACCGGTCCGACACACCATCGAGTTTGTCAAGGGTGCTGTTCCTCCAAAGGGCTGCGTGTACCGTATGGGACTCGGCGAGTTGGAGGAACTCCGGCGACAGATCGATGAGATGATTGACAAAGGGTGGATCAAACCTAGTGAATCTAAATTTGGTGCTCCTGTGTTGTTTGTGCCAAAGAAGGGAGGCAAACTTTGCACGTGTATTGATTACCGCGGTCTACACCGCATCACGAGAAAGAATGCTTATCCATTACCGCGCATAGACGATTTGCTTGATGCCGCAGGTGGGTGCAAGGTCTTCTCCAATATCGATCTCAAGTCTGGCTACCACCAGATTGAAGTCGATCCTGCAGACCAGCACAAGACTGCGTTCAAAACACGCGACGGGCTTTATGAGTTCACCGTAATGCCCTTCGGTCTCACGAACGCACCAGCCACTTTCCAAAGCCTCATGGACAAGGTCCTCCGCGAACAGATTGGCCGGTTTGTGGTAGTGTACCTGAAAAATATTCCGATCTTCAGCAAGTCCATGGAGGAACACCTCAAGCATCTTGAGGAGGTGCTCGCTATCCTCAAGAAGACGCAGCTTCATCTCAACTTGGAGAAATCTGAGTTTGGGAAGGATAGCGTCATCTATCTTGGGATCGGTTGTCTGATGCAAGCCTAGAGCCTGAGGCAACCAAGATTGAGGTCATACGCGAGTGGGCTCAGCCTGCGAACATTCGCGAATTGCGTTCTTTCCTTGGTCTTGCGTCCTACTATCGGAAGTTTGTGCCCCGCTTCTCTATCATTGCTCGTCCATTGTCGCGACTAACCAATAAAAATGTGCCTTATTTACGGGATGCCGCGTGTACGGAAGCCTTTCGAGCTCTCAAGCAAGCCTTGGTAAGTTACCCGGTACTCTACATTGCAGATCCCAAACTGACATTCGTAGTTACTACGGATGCAAGTCAGTATGGAATCGGTGCAGTGCTGCAACAAGATGACGGCGATGGCCTGAGGCCACTCGAGTACTACAGCAAACGAATGCCCAACGTAAAGGTAACCACTTCCACCTACATGCGCGAGCTCTATGCTTTGCGTATGGCATTGGATCACTGGAATCATTATCTTTTGGGACGCCACTTCAAAGTCTTCTCATATCATGAGACCTTGAAGTGGATCAAACAACAAACTACCCTGTCCCCTACCTTGCTTCGCTGGTTTCATGAGATTGACATCTTCGATTTTGAATTAAAACACAAAAAGGGTTGTTATAATCGAGTCGCTGACGCATTGTCTCGCCACCCTGACTTGCCTTGTGAAATCCTACAACCTCCGGAAGAAACATAAAGAGGAGCTCGTAGAGCAGACAACCAAGGATGAATTTAGTTCCATCCTTGAGCAGCTGTGGGCTGATCCTAGTAGTCAACCCGACTTCCACGAGTATGGAGGACTGATTTTTCGTCGCTACGGGAACCATGACCGTTTGTGTGTGCCCAACCATGAGCCTCTCCGCACACACTTTCTGGACTTGGCTCATGGCCGGAGCGGGCACTTTGGCATGACAAAAACGTACGCTAATTTGCTGAGACAGTTTGATTGGCCTGGCATGAAGGGGACTGCTGAGAAGTTTGTGGCTGAATGTCAAGTCTGTCAACGGATCAAACCATGCAGACAAAAGCCCATGGGGCTACTCACACCCCTACCCATTCCTGATGGTCCCAGGGAGTCTGTCTCCATCGACTTCACTGACATGGGTAAGGTAAGCAAAAACGGTTATTCACAAGTCATGGTGATCATTGACCGATTTTCAAAGTTTCTTAATTTGATCCCTTTGCCGCCTCACGCCCCAACAGATTTAGTGATTCGCGAATTCCAACAGAAATACCTGCTGCAATTCGAAACCCCGAAGACTCTTGTGAGCGATCGGGATCCGCGTTTCATTAGCACTGAATGAAAGGATTTCACGTCCCACCTAGGAATCAAACTGTGCGTGACATCTGGCCGACACCCCGAAGCCAACGGTTTGGCCGAGGAGATCAACCAGACGGTATTCCAATTTCTCCGCGCGTTGATTATTTCGGACCAAGAGACCTGGGATGAGGAGCTGTATTCTGTCAAGGGGTTGTATAACAACTCCGTCCATTCTGCCACCGCCATGACACCCAACAGGTTGCACTACGGTTGGCAGATCCGTAATCCGCTCTCCTACTTATTCCCTGAGCAGCCAGCTGGCTTAACACCCGGCAGGCCCGACTTCAGGGCGAAGTATGATCGCTTGCTCAAAGTTGTTGTTGCAGCTATGACCAAGCGACAACATTCCATGATCCACCATGCAAACAAAAAGCGACGACCATCGGAGATTCAGGTAGGAAGCTATGTCTGGGTAAAGATGTTTGAGTTCTCAGAAGAGGAGGGAGTCTCACGCAAACTCCTCCCACTCTACTACGGGCCTTGGGAAGTTTTGGATATAATTGGGGAAGATCACTTTGGCCCTTCGTACGTTGTAGACGTGGCAGCTCACCTGCGCACATATCCCGTGTTCGATGCATCTAAACTGTATCTCCACCGTGATGCCGAGACATTCGATTACCGCGAAGATATGATCCCTCGCGCAATCAAGGGCGGGCACGAGATAGATAGAATCAAACAGCATGTAGGTAAGGGAAGAAACACACAGTACCAGGTTCACTTTATGTATCACCCGTTAGACGATCTGTACTGGATCTCCAAGCAGGAACTGCTACGCAGCGCACTGCGCGTTGTCAAAGCCTACGAGCGACAAATCGCTGCTAACGCCGCACCAAAGATCTCAGCAAGGCTCACTGAGACAGAGTATTCCAGGAATCTCTTTGCCTTGCTCGCTTCGATGCGTTTGCCGAGGACTCAGAATGAGTTACTCGCTCGAAGGGACCTCGCTCTTGAGGGGGGGGTAGTGTGATAACCCCTCCAAAGATGGACTGAAACACATAACTGGTTTCTGAGTTTTGCTCATAGACTGAATGCCCTACTGAGTTCCCTGCCTGCTAAGTCTGTGTGCGTGTGCTTGCTGGACTGCATGTCTGTCTGAGTGCTGGTTGGCTTGCGTGTGTGTGACTGTGACTGTCTGAGTGCTGGTTGGTATGAGTGTGTGTGTGTAGCCCGCCAGGGCACTTGTTAGTTGTTGGGCCCTCAAGGCCGGTACTTACCTGTGGTCGTGGCTTTGAAGGGTTGCAGCGGGGAAAAAACACTCAAGTAGCAGGTAGGCCGGTACCGCACCCGGCAGGGGAGTAGATATGCAGGTACCGGAGGCCGAGCAGAAGAAGACAAAAGTGGAATTTTTAGAGGTCGGTAGTGTAGGCTAGGTCTAGCGGGTACCAGTCTGAGTCTAGGGCCTGTAGGGGCAATATTTCCCTCCAAACGAGGAGGAGGTACCGGTTGCTTGGGAAGGCCAGCGGCCTGGAAGTCACCGCCCAAGAGGCAAAGCAGGCCGCTATATCTTCCGGCCTGGCGGAAGACCCGGCCTCTTTTTCGGTGTGTAAGTTTGGCGACACACTGGTGGAGCGCTGGATGGAGCAGCGCTGCTGGGGAGGAGGAAGAAGGACGAGAGGGAGGAAGAAGGAAGGAAGGGGGAGGACCGCCAGGGGTACTTGGCTATGGTGGCAGCCATCTTCATCACCTTGGTGGGCGCTGCAGCAAGGAGTCCCCCGTCGGGGAGAGCCACACCAAGAAGCTTCAAGGCAGGGTTGGGCATGGCGGCCTGAGTCCGAGCAGCCATAGCTGCTTTGTGTTGTCCTTTGGGGATCTGAGCAAGGCCTAGTAGTCCGCCATAGCCTCGGCCTATGAGAGTGAAGTGTGGGAGGGGTGGCCATGGCTATGGTGGACCTTGAGTGATACCTGCAGTAGAAGAGGGACTCGGACATTGATTCTGGACCAGTCATTCAACATTGTATTATTATTTCTTGTATGAATAAGAGGAG